TCACATCTTTCAGGCAAAAACGGCAGCCACCACAAATCCAAGGAACTGCCCTTGTTGATGGCAAGGCCAGCCTGCACTTGCTGCATTGTGACGGTTTTGGGATATTTTGTGAAGCAGTGTTATTTTGCTTGACAAAAGTAGCCTGCTTTTTCCTGATGTGCTCGGCACTGGTGTTGTTGGGCCATATTTGTGCGGGAGAGATCTTAACTTGCACCACGTGCAGTGAGGTTACTCTCAGGCCCTGCCTGTGCACAGGTGATTGCCAAGCCACCTGAGACGTGAGCCAGCCCCTGTGAGCCCCTGGTGAGTGCAATTCTGTGTGCTGAGAGGGGTGCCAAAGGGTGTCAGGGCGTCAGTGCTAATCGAAGTGCAGGCCCGCACTGATGACACTGCAAGCGAGGGACAATGACATGCTTGGAAAAGGTAATTGAATACTTTAGACAAAGACAGACTGTCACTGTTAGATGTCCTGCTGTGGCAGCTGCATGCAAACTCAATGACTTGCCTCTTTGTTCCAGCGTCAAACATGGCACACACAAGTTGAATTCAGACCAAACCTTGGCAATGCGCATTGCTCTTTGTTTCAGTTGCTAGTATTTTTGGTCGCAGTTAGCTAGCAAAGCAAGCAAGCACGAGCTACCTCCGGCCCCGATCTTGACACAGAAAGGCCCAATCAGCTAGCTACGTGCAAAAGAAGCCTTCACTTTTGCTGCAACTCGGGACTTCAACTCGGCATCACATGCCGCAAGCTGGCCATGTCCTCGGCTCCTTGGCAGAAGATTGGTGATAGAATGCTGGCCATGTTAGAGGACGCAGATGCTTGAAACAAACCATGCACAAATATGCAGATTGGCATGGTGAGGCAGCTGGGGGTGCTGGCGGAAAGGCGAGGATTTGCAACAATCTTGCTGGCGGACACTCAACTCCCGTTCCAGGCAGTGATTGCACAGAACTTCCCAGCTGCATGGGCAAGCTGCTCAGAAACTCGGGTCTGGACTTGGGTCAAATGCTGACAAAGCCTTGTCATCGCCGACGTCAGGTAGCTCCATCAGCGCTTGAGGTTCTGCCGCAGAAGGTGCGACATAAGACATATGTCAAGCGAGCCAAGCTGTGCTAGGTGCAGAGTCTTCTGCAACGTCTAGGACCTTTGGAGGGACCACCCGCACACCTCTTAGCTTTTCTCAGCTTCGTAACCTGAAAGTGTGAAGTATGTGAAGTATGCCCCAAAAACGTTATGGCCTTATGGTCGAAGGTCATCTCTCAGAGCCTCAATGGACTGCAGGCAGTATGGGTCTGGCAGCGGGAAGGGAGCATTGACGCGAAGCATTCCATTGAAAAGAAGCGAGCAAAGCATTATTGAACGTGAGCGAACCAAAAACGAGACGACGTCGCGCGTCAAATGGTGTCTTATAGATCGTATAGCCAGAGGCCAGGAGGGGTGGCGCTTGGCTGGAGCATGCCAAAGAGGAGTTTCATATGGCAATTGCCAGACACAGGTAGCTAGGATCCTTGTTAGACATGGAGGACCAGCATGAGCATTCCAATGTTAGCTCAATGAACTAGCACAAGCTTGCACAAGGCAAAAAGCTGTTCTATCGAACGCAATTGAAGTTACTTGAGGAAGAACGACATGAGAGGATGCAGAGTTGACGATTGCCATTTGCGGAAAGGGCCTGATCGCCAGGCCTTGGCACGCTTCCAGAGTGCAAGTGATGCCAGAGCCGCAGCCAAGCACTGAGTTGGCTCTGCGCGCCGTCTCCTTTTGCCATGTTGTTCCGTCCTCAGGTCCAAACACTGCATGGCTTTGACATGCGCTCAGCTGCCGAAAAGCAGGCAGCCAACAATGAGGCCGCACCAGCCCGGCAATCCCACTTCAGTTGATAGCCTGCTCTCGTGCAGGCTCCAAAGGAGAGTGAATGCTTCAGCCTCCAAATTGCGGACGATGTAGGCCGCACTACCCGAGGGATAGTGTCCAATTCTGCCACGTCCTGGGTGGCCATTGCAAACTTTCTGCATTGCGGATCAGGTGCAAGTTTGTCCATTTCAATCATGTGCACGGGGGATTGTACAGTCCGAGCTGTTGGTTTGGAACGGTGAAACTTAAAGTGAGGTTGTACAAAAGAGCCCCTCGCCCCTCATATTTTTTTCAGCCCAAAGCTGCTCCGTTTCCCTGCACAACGGTAAAGAGTGAAGCAGCTTGTCAGCTTGTTAGGTAGCAAAAACGCCGGACAACCGATGACCGAAACGATAGTGTGCTTCCACAGGACCCTTCCTCAACACACCTTCCTCACATTCCCGTGTTTTTTGGCCACTCCAATGGTTGAACAAATCGAGGTGGGGCTGCCAAAGGGGACTTCGCGTACAACACTTGGACTGAACAGTTGTATTTGTCGAGCTGGAGCTGCCAAAGTGTACTTTGTAGTATCTTACTCGTTTACTGAACCGTTTCGTTTCTTTAGCAGGAGCTGCCAACACTGAGGTTTGTGTACTGCGCTTGTACTGAAAGTTGTGAGAGCTGGAGCTAGCACAGTCCACTTGTGTGCTGCACTTGGCCAAGAGATTGTGATTCTTGAGGAACACAATGCAAAGCTATGCGTAGGTAGAAAACATGACAACCCAAAACCGGGCAATCACAGTACGAAGAGGTGCTATTTTTCACCCTTCTACGCTCTTTGTCTACCTTGGAAATGCGTGGCACTTCTAATTTGGAACCGACACTAACCCACCCATCCTAAAAACCAAATGGCAATGGCCATGAAAACCACCCGCCAGCTGACTATTTTCTGGAATTGCGCCCACACATGGAAGCTACGGGTGTTTGATGCCATCGTAACCACCGAACTGCTGTGTGGCTTGAATTCCATCCAATTAACCCAGAGTGAAGCAAACAAACCTGACACTTTCCAAACGAAACGTCTGCAACGAATCCCACCGACCTTCATCGACAGGACTCAAACAAACTAGATAGTAAATCAACAAGGCGGAAGCGGTCGGATATGTTTTCAGAGCCTTGGGGGAAACAGAACCTGAAGCTGTTAGGACACATTACCCAACGAAGCAAGTCCTCTTTGAAAGGCGGAGGATCACGCCAAGAAGAACTGGAAGAACAGGAAGGCCGAAAACAAGCTCGTTGACTGAAACTGTTCGAGATGCACTACACGCCTTTGGCCAGTTGGCCGCCCCAACTCCCACTGATTAGAAATGCGAAAGCCGCTAGGCTACGTTGCGGGTGTTTCTAAACAAAGAGTGTGAGTCGCCAAGTACTGTATTATTCACATGTAAGCCGGGCCATTGCCCATCAATGAGCGCCTTCGGACTCAGAAGTCACAATTCACACGTACAGACGCGACCAATAGGGTAGAGTAGCACTCAGCGCTCTGCACCCAGTGGCGCTGTGTGCTAACCCCAACCTCTTCTAAGCCAACCCTAAACCAACCCTAATTACACCCCCAAACTCTCAAACCAGCCACCCACCCTAAGCCCAGCCTGAAACCCACGCTAAAAGTAAGCCCAACCTTAGGCTAGAACCGCTTTCAACCAATTCTAGACCAACCCTGAGGCCACCCTCAACCAGCAAGCCAGCCCGAAGCTTTAAACCAACCTTACACCAACCATAAACTAATCTTGAACCCAGCCTAAACCAACCCCAACCCCCTAAACCCACCCCCAAACCCACCCCCAAACCCACCCCCAAACCCACCTCCAAACCCACCCCCAAACCCACCCACAACCCAAACCCAAAACCCACCCTGCCCCTATATGCCCCCATCCCACACCCACCCCAAAAGCGCCCGAAGCCAGCCCCAAACCCACGCTAAACCAACCTGAACCCAAACCTAAACCCATCTAAGCCAACAGTAAACCCACCTTGAAGCCCCTAAACAACCCAACGCCCACCTTAAAACCCCCGTGTTGCCTTAACAAACTAACTAAATCAACCCTAAACCAACCCAAACCAACCCTGCGCCCACCCTAAACCCACACTACAACCCACCCTAACACACTACCACACCAATGAGCCCACCCTCCGACATGAATCCTAAGCCCACGAAAAACCTACCATAAACTCTAAACCCCAACCGCGCCCTAAACCCCAACCTTAACTTGCCCTATGCCCGCCCTAATACCCACTGGAAAGCCCAGACTCCTGAATGACTGCCCAGCGACGATAAACGGTGGACACCGGAAACATAAATAGTACAGGCACAGGATGAGCAAAGCTGCTGTCAGTTGCTGTACCTGGGCATAGTGCCAAAATGGAACTGTCAGGCGTGCCTGCGTGATGCAATTGGCAGCTGTTTCGTCTCTAACTCAACATGGGAGCGAACTGCCAACTCGTGTTGTGACTGCCAGCCCAAGCCGGCAAGCTGATGCATTTTTTGCTGTAAGAGTTGTGGAGACTCAAGGTCGTCGTAGATAATGCTTAGAACAAGGAGAGGGAAGAGTAGGAGAGTTCGGAGGGAACTGTCACGGCGTTGTACTTGGGTTGCGTTTCGCATTTAGTGCATAATAGGTGGAGCAGGCATGACTGCAGAAAGTTGGGCATGCAGCCCACTTCCCATGCTTGGATACAGTTGGTCACACAGGCATTTGCCGCTCCTGCAGGTGCGCCAAAGCCGATACGCAAGCGTAAGTGCAGCTCCAAGAGCGTGAGCTTTGTGCGAAGCAACCGTGCTGTCCTCGGACTTTTTGCTGGTCGTAGGCTGAAGGCCAACGGAATTTTTGTGTGGCCGCTGCCAGAGAGTTGGGCTGAGAAGGACAGGAGTGCTTGAGCTGTGTAGCCAGTTGCCATGTCCTGTGCCATTCAGGACGTGGAGTTGTTGGCCTCGTAGCCATCTTACGTTGGCGACAGTTGCATAGTATTTCTTCAGTTTACCTCGCGAAGGCCCTATGGTGCAGTGCTGCGAACTAGAGTAGAAGGAATCGCAAATGGTCAGAGAGGCCAGCCATCTTCCATGCTCCTCTTTAGCTCTTTAGCTCTTTAGCTGCAGGGCTACATCCTTGTTTGGCATGAACCGCGACATCCTATCATAGAGTGCCGTTGCAGGTGTCCTGATCGATTTTCAAACGCCAAGCGCAGCGTTGCATTCTCAACGTATGTGTCGCATGCTGCTTACAGATGAGCTTGGAACCAAGGGCGGCAGCACAGACAGGCCTGAATGGTTTGTCTCTCATGGGAGCCTGATACTCGGTGAGTGGCTGGCAACAAACTTGTGAGATTTCGCGATGCAAAACACCCGACGTGCTGTGAGGTGCATTCATTAAACATGTCCAATGTCATGGCTGTCACGGCGAATCTGCAAGACTTAGCCTACCCGAGGCCCAGCTGCGCTGTGTCATGCAGGTGGGCCAACAAATTTGCTCGTCAGAGTCCAGCAATTTGGAGAGTGTTGTGCTTGTTTTGCAGTTTACAGCCGCCTGGCAAGTTCTCTCCCCAACACGCGCAGGCTGCTCACCTTTGCTTGTTGGTATTGCGTGATGCAACTTTTAAATGGGCTTCCGTACATGTGTTTCCTGACATTTCAATGCTGGCAAGTTCTCCGGCCCATTCTTTCGGACTCACAAGCATGTCTCCTACTCTTGCTTGGGGCTTGAGAGGTAGCCGTAGATCAAGTTCAAATCTGCAGCTGGCTTTGCTGGCACCATGACGGAGTTTTCATGATGTCTCTGCCTGGTCCTCCAACTGTGCTGTACACTTAAAATTCGATTCAATCTGAACATTTGCCTACTGGAGTCAAGCGAGAGGACTAGTTGCCTTTGGGACTTGTATGATCGCGAGGGCAGACTTGGATTCAGGTCAACTTGAAAGAGAGATGCTTCATCTTTGCGTCTCAGCGTGCCACTGGTTTCCTCTCCCTGTCAAGTGTTGTGTTGGTGTGAGTGTGTGTGTGTGAGTGTGTGTGTGCGCACATTTTGCGCAGTCTCCATCTCTCGCTCTCTCGCTCTCTCTGTCTCTTTCCGGCAAAGCGCCGGGATCCCCAAAAGGCGCAGCAGGTCTCTCCAGAATTCACACCGGTCCAGGCGAATAACTTGGCCTTTTAACCACTTGTCAGACCGTTTCGCACGAGCTTCCGATGTCCCAGGGCGGCCGGGGTCTGCGAAGCATGCGCCAAGGAAGAGACCGCACAGACACCGGCCCGACTATCGGACTTGAGTGACGATGACGAGGAGGATGATGGCAGCAGCAGCAGCAGTTCGACGGATGATGAAGGCAGAGGCAGCAGTGATGATGATGATGGTGGTGGCGGCGGCGGCTGTCGCAATAGCCACAATGATGGCTCAGATGGGCCGGCCTCTGGTGCCCTTGCGGAAACGCAGAAAGGCTCGCACGCTGGGCCCCGCCCTTGGGATTGGCACAGGTCGTCCACCATCTGGCCTTGCAGAGACCGTGTGTTCCGCTCAAGGTTGTGGGTGAACTCTTCTTGCTTGCCATCCCCTCTTGCGTCTTCTCGACACAGAATGCTCCGATTCTGAGTTTAAAAAGAAAACACAATTAATCCCATTCAGAAACTTTGATTCAACAACTAGACTCCCCGATTCAACACCCCTACCCTCATCCGATTCAAACACTAGAATCGCCCAATTCAAAGATTGCACAATTCAAACACAAAAGTGAGCAGCGCTGCGTACATGTCTGCCGCATGGGGCACGTTTGCTGAACTGAGCCTGCGCGGTATTGTACATATTGCCTTCCACATGACAAGCGCACCAACTGACTCCAGCCCGTGCATCACTGCACGCATGCCTTGCTACAGTCACTGAACGGAGTCTGCGCAACACGGCACACATGAGTTCCAAATGCAATCACACTGGCTGAGCTGAGCCTGCGCAGCACTGCGCACATACCTTCAGTCCAAATGAAAGCACACTCGCTGAACTGAGCTTGCGCAGCACTGCACGCATGCCTTCTTTCCGAATGAAAGCACACTCGCTGAGCTGAGTCTGCGCATCATAATCCTAATGATGTTTTCGCTCCACGGAGATGTTTTTGTATTTTGGCGAGAGCATCGTTTCAGCATCTTTTCTGCTGAAATGGAATGCCGCCATGTTCTTCTTTGTCCGTGGCTCGTATGAGCAAAGGTTAGTCACAGCTGTAGATAAACGGGGTCGGGCACGAGACAATTTATTCTGTAGTGCCCGACGCATTCCAGTTTCCACGGTTCTATTTTGGAAAAGGTGACTTGCCGCGGAAGACTCGCTGTGAGACCTGGCCTTGATCTGATGTTTTTTTGCCTTTTTTGTGAATGGGACCTTGGCAGCCTTGTTGTCAGCAATTTTCGGGTTTCTTCTGTGACAGATGAAGTAGAATGGAGCTTGTTTGCATGGCATGGCCCCAGCTTCACCTTTCGCGTGACACGGCCTCTTCTGCCGTGGTTGGAGGGCTGTTTTTGTTTCACCCTTACGCTCATGTACAATTGATGCCTGCAATGATCGATGCATTGACGGCTTGCGGTGCAAGTGCCTAGACAAATTGTGCTTGGTCAGATTGGCCACAGACACTCACGCCAACATCGCGCACGGTGCTTGACATGTCCACAATACAAACAATTGAGCCATCGTAATGCTTTGCTACGTTTGTATGCTTTTCCACATGCAACTCTGCATGGCAGAGAATGGGATGAGGGTATAGCTCTGAAAGGTGTTGCGCGTGAGTAAATCAAACATTTGGGGCAAAAAGGTTAGTCAGCTGAAAGACCAGCGCCGGGGACGCAGTGTCCAAACTAATAATGAATCATGGTCGTTGTTCGAAACCGCTAATGCGTGTCTTGTGCTTCAGGAAGAGCCAGAAGCCGCCAAGCCCCTGATGATGCCATGTGCCAAGCGCTTGCTGTTTAGACGTGAGTGAATGCGTTGTCCTTGAGTGCATTGCAGTTGCAGGTTCATATCGTACTTGGATGAGCTGGCTATGCCATCACTTCCTCAGGAGGCAGGCGTGATGCTGCCCGCACCCATCAAACTTTCAACTTTCATGGACAGTTCGTGGGTTGGAAACCTGTCACAAGCCACGAACCCGAATGCAGACTATTGCCCAAAGCCACCGTTGTGTGTGTGTGTGTCCCTGCCTATCCATTTACCTGCTTGTTGGCATGTATTTTTCTATCTAAGCATTTGCCTGCCTATTTGTGTATCTATTTATATACCTATTTGTCTATCTGTCTATTTGTCCATCTACGCATCCGTACATTTGTGCACCTATCAATCTATTTATCTATCTACCTGACTTGCCTTCGTTCTGCCTATCTAGTGTATTCCAATCGGTTCTAGTCTAAACTAACCTAGTCTAGTATAATATATCTCACTGTCTCTCTATTTCTCCATCATATCTCTCATTTCTAGCTATCTATCTTATCCTATCCTGCCCTATCCCATCCTATCCTATCTCGTACCGCATCCTATCCTATCCTATCCTATCCTATCCTATCCTATCTATCGCCCGTTCTCTCTCTCTCTCTCTCACGTCTCTTGGTCTATCAATCTCACCTTCTATCTGTCGGTCCGTCCAATTGTCCATTTGTTCATTTGTCCATCTATCTATCTACCTATTGATCTATCTATCTATCTATCTATCTATCTGTCTATCTATCTATCTATCTATCTATCTATCTATCTATCTATCTATCTATCTAATATATCTAATCTAATCTAATCTAATCTAATCTAATCTACTCTCATCTAGTCTAATCTAACTATCTATCTATCTATCTATCTATCTATCTATCTATCTATCTATCTATCTATCTATCTATCTATCGAAGAGTAACCTAATCTAGTCTGATCGATCTATCCAATTTAAGCTAATCGAATCATCGATCTATCTAAACTAATTGAATCTCATGTATCAATCTAATGTATCTATCCTGTCGGACCAAATCTAACCTAATCTGTCCCTTCATCTCCCCATCTATTTATTTGTCTAATAATCGTATCATATGTAACCTGGTCCTGTCCAATCTAATTTGTCTATGTATTTTTCTGTTTAATCTACACTATATATCTAGGTATCTGTGTTTTTCTTTATCTATCTATCATCCTTTCTTATCGTTCTATCTATCTCTCTCCCAATCTATTTATCCATGCATCTACCTACCTACCTATCTACCTATCTCTCCTATCTATGCATCTATTTGTCTGTGTATGTTTTTATCTATCAACAATCTTGCGAGTCGTGCTCCAAAGTGCTGCGCCTGTCAACGCGCGAAAGTACTGCGCCGGCCACAAATCAACACTCTGTGCTCCAAAGCGCTGCGCCTGCATCGAAATTTCATCACAGCGCTCCAAACACGAACTTCAACTTTGACACGTTTACGATGCGTATCAAAAAAGACTGATTTCGACCGATTTTGACAAACTTCCAGTTCGCCGAAACGAGCCGATTGTACGACTACGACGGGGCCAACACAAATGACACTCGCGCAGACGCTTACAAGCGCCTGCCAAGCAAGACGCCTCAAAACGACCACCCCTGAGATGCAAATCACAATGGCACGGCGACGCAAAGGCGCAACCTTCCAAAACACGGCGCCTGCGCAGCCAACCGACACGCAATGTCGCAATAGCAAACGCTTGCGAACACTTGCGGACGCTTGCCGGCATTCGGGAAGAGGAGCTTGATACCAAGCAAGAGTAGATTGGGCGTTCAGCTGTGCGACGTTGGGGTGAGGGCTGCGTTGGCGTATTGCCAGCGCTCGTGATGTGTGATGCTTATGTTTTGGCTGCCTTTAACGGAAACAAAATAACGCCGGCTTTGGTTCGCAGGAAGGATGATCATTGTCAAGTGTTGTTACTATGTGTTATGATATGTTGTGATTGACTGGCAGGTAGAGCCAAAGCTGGACGATCGAGAGATTTTTGTCACGCACTTGCCTCCAAAGGCCAGCAATGAGGAGCTGGGGAGCACAAAGTGTTTCCTCCGCACAAGCAAGCCATGGTGCCTTGTTTGCCCAACCATCGCTCACTGGCAGGAAGGTGTGAGATTTCTACTTGGGAACTTTGGTGAAGTCGATGAGGACTGACTGGACAACACTGATCATGCCGACAGTCCTGCAATGCCTCTCCAACTTTCAAACTGATGTGAGCTTGTTTCTGGATTGTTCAATCACCTGGCGTTATTTTGAGTATGCTGCAGAATATTTGGATCAGCTTGCTCAAGTTGCAGGTCTTTTTGCTTCGCGACCCACAGCAGAGACCAGCTGGAAAGGCACATGTTGCACACTTCGCCTTGGAAGATCAAGTCTCTCACTGGGGCCTTTGGACTCCTAGTCTTTGGCTGTTGGCTAGTATTATACTTGAGCTTTCTGGGGGGGGGGGTTCAGCACTGCCGCGGTAGGCCTATGTTCGATTCAAAAGCCATTCAGATGCTGAGAAGGCCCTGGAGGCAGGAGCTGGCGGACAGGTGCGAAGCAGATGCTAGACAACCCTTGTCCAAGGCAGTGCGAAGCTCCAGCGATGGGGCATCCAAGGTGCTGCTACGTCACATGTCGTCGCATGTCGTCTCGCATGTCAACCTTGGGATGCCACATGCATTTCTGTCAAGGCGTCCTGGTCAGAGTCTGAGCGTGCTTTGCGAGGCGCGCTTGTTTCCTGTTTGCACGTGTTGCTGGACCCTCAGCACTGCTGCACTGCAGGTACCCGGGGATCATATGGACTCAATGTGCTTCGGCATATGTCGGGGGCCAATGGCGCCAGACTGAAGGAGATTTGCAAGGCCCCTTGCCCTATCTTTGCCTTGCTTGGGTGTACAGCCTCATTGCGAAAGACATTGGAGAGCCATGGTGATGCGCTCCATGTTTGCGTGGCGTTGAAGGCGGCTGCAGCAGGGTCGCTGCAATTGGAGATTGTCAATCTTAGCCTTGACAAGCTGGGACCTCAGGAATGCGAAGTAGCTGTGCCAGGGGTCCACGGATATATTCATCAACCGTTCATGGTTGAGATGAGCGACTGACAAATACATTGCTTGAATATGTACTGATACAGTCAGAATACCCTAAGAAGCGGGGATATCCTTGCAAAACAAATGGGACCCGCAGTGTTGATGGAAAGATACATTTCTTTGAGTGTTGGGCCCGTGGAAAATTACGCTTCCACTTTGTGCCAGGCTACCGTTTGGGAGTTCTGGGCCCTGGAAACATCAAGCTCTTTTTGAACTTATTTGCCTTGCTACCCACTTAGAGTTTCTGACAACCCGGCAACTGGGACTTCGGGGAAGCGGTTGTGTTTTTGTGCACGAGCTTGTCGTTTTGACGTTTAACACTCTGAGAGCTTGGTCGCCCAGCTGCAGCAAACTGCTCTTTAGCCAAAATCTATGTACGCAGCACCATCACATTGAAGGCCAACAGTAAGTTCGCAAATAGAGAGGAGACATGTACCAGTACGGCCGCCTCAGTGGAATCTGGTCAGAAATTCCGAAAATGGCGACGTCGAGAAAGTGAAAGAAGATGATTTGGATGCCGGGTATGCAGTATGCCGCGTGAACACTACGGGAAGGGAAATGGCCGTTGGGATTTTGTCCAGGAGCGGCAGTGAGAACGGAGGTGACTGAGATACGGGATCTGGAGGCAGCGAGAGAGGTGATGAAGCTCTGCACCGGCGTGTGCTGCTGGAATTCGGCGCAGGGGATGCGAGGGAACAAAGGTGAAGGTGGTGCAGACCACGCAAACACAGACAGGCTGTGTGTCCTAGGTGTTTTGTGATAGGAATGTGAAGGCGATCCCTCAGCATCGGAAGATTGATGAAGTCTTGGAGTAGGTGTGAGAGCGTATCAAAGCAGAGGCGCACCAGGAAAAGGGGCTGGGTTGGCCACCAGTTGACCGGATGCGCCGATGCTTCAACCGCGGTTGACTGTGATTGGACCAGCGGGACGCAGACCAGACAGCGGACCAGACCTCGGGCGATCATGAATCAAAAGTATCAAACGAAGCTCAAAAACGCGGCTCAAGATTTGATGTTGGCCAAAGGCTAAAGGCCAAGTTGTGGCAGAGTTTGCTCAAGTTAGAACCCTGGTCACAACAACCGAGGTAAAGCAGGGAAAGGAGAAGAACCCAAGTTCTTTGCAAACAAAAGGTCTGTTTCGATTTGCTTCGCCTTGCTGTGACACACGTCGTATCGAGCCCAACGCAAGATTAAGTAAACCAGATTCGGAATTGCTCTAAACTCATGTTTTCGTCAGCTGCACGGGTGGCTCTGGCGACAATCTAAGTACACACACGTGATTCACTATGAATAGATCGTTGCGATGCCGCGCAGATTGTCCAGACTCTGCACAGGTTTCACGGGAGTCAGCACATCATGTTCGTTGCCCGCTGCGCTGAAGCCTATCAGGCAGGCCAATGGTTGTGAAGCAATTGGCTTGCTATAGTGCGTGACCGTAGCAAGTGCATTCATCGGAGGTTGTTAGTCGGAGGGAGGCTTGAACAGTCACAGAGCAGGATCATTTGCTTCAGGGAATATTCAGGCTCATAGCATTCATAGCCACTAGACTGGTCTATGGAATCCGGGCTTTGCGGATAGCAAGGCGAGACGCCGAATAATGCTTCGAAGACGATGCCTTACACCTACATGACATGTCCAGACCTTGAAGGCAAGGTAGGCATCCCACTTTTGAATTGGAATCACATATTTCAGGCCTACCAGTAATTACTTGACAATGTAGATTCCCAGAGCGTTTCAGCTGTCAGCGCTTGGATCTTGCTTTGAGGTTGAACCAGTATATATTCAATGCCCGACAAAAAGTGTCGCTTTGAGCAAGCTGGTGGATTCTTGGCATGTGTTGCTCGAAAGAGCTCCCTATCGCACTGCATGCGATGAAGTGATCGTATTGTATGATATCAACCGTGCAATATATATATATATATTAACGCCTCCGGCTCAGGCCGCCGACAGTACAGGCCTGCTTTCTTATTTGCGTCCCTTTGGAATTGTCCCCTTGCCCCCCTTCCCCTCTAAAATTGTTGCCCCCCTTTCCCTGTTGAGATCCATTCCCCCTTTCCCCCCTAAGGCCCTTTCTCCCTCTGAGTTTTTTTCCCTTTTCCTCCCTAGGATGTTTTTCCCCCTCTCCCACCCTGAGTTCTTCTCCCTTTTCCTCCCAAAGATCTTTCCCCCCCTTTCCCCTCTAAGGCCTTTTCCCGCCCTGAGATCTTTTCCATTTCCTCCCTGACATCTTTCCCCCCCTTTTTCTGTTGAGATCCTTTCCCCCCTTTCCCCCCTAAGGCCTTTCCCCCCGCTGAGGTCTTCTCCCTATTCCTCCCTAAGATCCTTTGCCCCCTTTCCCTGTTGAGATCCTTTCCCTCCTTCCCCCTAAGGCCTTTCCAGATCTTCTCCCTTTTCCTTCCTAAGATTTTTCCCCCCTTTTTCTGTTGAGATCCTTTCCCCCTTTCCCCCCCTAAGGCCTTTCCCCCCCTGAGATCTTAAGGCCTTTTCTACCCCTGAGATCTTCTCGCTTTTCGATCCTTACCCCCTTTCCCCCCTAAGGCCTTTCCCCCCCTCAGAGCTTCTCCCTTTCCTTCCTAAGATCTTTTCCCCCCCTTTCCCCCCTAAAGGCTTTTTCCCCCCAAGATCTTATCCCTTTTCCTCCCTAAGATGTTTTCCCCCTTTTTCTGTTGAGATCCTTTCCCCCCTGTCCCCCCTAAGGCCTTTTCCCACCCCCTAAGGCCTTTTTCTCCCCTGAGATCTTTTCCCTTTCCTCCCTGAGATCTTTTCCCTTTCCTCCCTGAGATCTTTGCCACCCTTTCCCTGTTGAGATCCTTTCCCCCCTTTCCCCCCTAAGGCCTTTCCCCCCGCTGAGATCTTCTCCCTATTCCTCCCTAAAATGTTTTCCCCCCTTTCCCTGTTGAGATCCTTCCCACCCTTTCGCCGCTAAGGCCTTTCCCCCCCTGAGAGCTTCTCCCTTTTCCTTCCTAAGATCTTTTCCCCCCTTTCCCTGTTGAGATCCTTTCCCCCTTTTCCCCCCTAAGGCCTTCCCCCCCCTGAGATATTCTCCCTTTTCCTCCCCAACATCTTTTCCGTTTCCCCCTAAGACCTTTTCAGATCTTCTCCCTTTTCCTCCCTAAGATCCTTTGCCCCCTTTCCCTGTTGAGATCCTTTCCCCCTTTCCCCCCCTAAGGCCTTTCCCCCCCTGAGATCTTAAGGCCTTTTCTACCCCTGAGATCTTCTCGCTTTTCGATCCTTACCCCCTTTCCCCCCTGAGGCCTTTTCCCCCCCTGAGATCATCTCCCTTTTCCTCCCTATATGTTTTCCTCCTTTTCCCTGTTGAGATCCTTTCCCCCCTTTCCCCCCTAAGGCCTTTTCCCCCTGAGATCTTCTCCCTGTTCCTCCTAAGATCTTTTCCCACCTTGCTTTATTGAGATCCTTTCCCCCCCTGTCCCCCCTAAGGCCTTTTCCCACCCTGAGTTCTTCCCCCTTGTCCTCCCGAAGATCTTTTCCCCCCCTTTCCCGCTTAAAATCCTTTCCCCCGTTTCCCCCCTAAGGCCTTTTCCTCCCAAGATCTCCACCCTTCCCCTCCTAAAATATTTTCCCCCCTTTCCCGTTTGAGATCCTTTCCCCCCATTGCCCCCTAGGGCCTTTTCCCCCCGAGAAAGACTTCCCGTTTCCTCCCAAGAATATTTTCCCCCCTTTCCCCCCTAAGGCATTTTTCCCCAAGATCTTCTCCCTTTCCTCCCTGAAATCTTTCCCCCCCTTTCCCTGTTGAGATCCTGTCCCCCCCTTTCCCCCCTTTCCCCCCCCTTTCCCCCCTTTCCCCCCTTTCCCCCCTTCACCCTTTTCCCTTTTTCCCCCCTTTCCCCCCTTTCCCCTTTTCCCCCTTTCCCCCCTTTCCCCCCCTTTCCCCCCTTTCCCCCCTTTCCCCCCTTTTCCCCCCTTTCCCCCCTTTTCCCCCCTTTCCCCCTTTCCCCCCCCCTAAGGCCTTTCCCCCCGCGCTGAGATCTTCTCCCTTTTCCTCCCTAAGATCCTTTGCCCCCTTTCCCTGTTGAGATCCTTTCCCCCCTTCCCCCTAAGGCCTTTCCAGATCTTCTCCCTTTTCCTCCCTAAGATCTGTTCCCCCCTTTCCTTGTTGAGATCCTTCACACCCTTTCCCCCTTTCCCCCCAAGAGAGCTTCTCCCTTTTCCTTCTTCCCTGTTGGCCTTTTCCCCAGATCGTCTCCCTTTCCTCCCTCCCTTTTCCTCCCAAAGATCTTTCCCCCCCTTTCCTCCCCAAGTCCTTTTCCCCTTGAGATCTTCTCCCTTTTCCTCCCCTAAGATCTGTTGCAACCTTTCCCTGTTGAGAGCCTTTCCCCCCTTTCCCCCCTAAGGCCTTTTTTTCCCCTCTTTCCTTGTTGAGATCCTTTCCCCCTTTCCCCCCTAAGGCCTTTTCCCCCCAAGATCTTCTCCCCTTTCCTCCCGAATGTTTTCCCCCCTTTCCCTGTTGAGAACCTTTCCCCCCTTTCCCCCCCAAGGCCTTTCCCCCCCCGAGATCTTCTCCCTTTGCCTCCCCAAGATGTTTTCCCCCGGTTGAGATCCTTTCCCCCTTTCCCCCCGAGATCTTCTCCCTTTTCCTCCCTAGGATCTTTTCTCCCTGTCCCTGTTGAGATCCTTTCCCCCCCTTTCCCCCCGAAGGCCCTTTCAGATCTTCTCCCTTTTCCTCCCTAAGATCATTTGCCGCCTTTCCCTGTTGAGATCCTTTCCCCCTTTCCCCCCCAAGGCCTTTCCCCCCCTGAGATCTTAAGGCCTTTTCCCCCCCTGAGATCTTGTTGCTTTTCGATCCTTTCCCCCCCTTCCCCCCCAAGGCCTTTTCCCCCCCCTGAGATCATATCCCTTTTCCATCTTTTTCCTCCCTAAGATGTTTTCCCCGCATTCTATGTTGAGATCCTTTCCACCCTTTCCCCCCTAAGGTCTTTTCCCCCCTGAGATCTTCTCCCTTTTCCTCCCTAAGAGCTTTTCCCACCTTTCTTTATCGAGAGCCTTTCCCCCCTGCCCCCCCTAAGGCCTTTTCCCACCCTGAGTTCTTCTCCCTTTTCCTCCCTAAGATCTTTTCCCCCCTTTCCCGCTTAAGATCCTTTCCCCCGTTTCCCCCCCAAGGCCTTTTCCCCCCAAGATCTCCACCCTTCTCTTCCCAAAGTCTTTTTCCCCCTTTCCCGTTTGAGATCCTGTCCCCCCATTGCCCCCTAGGGCCTGTTCCCCCCGAGAAAGATTTCCCTCTTCCTCCCAAAGATCTTTTCCCCCCTTTCCCCCCTAAGGCATTTTTTTCCAGATCTTCTCCCTTTGCTCCCTGAGATCTTCCCCCCCTTTCCCTGTTGAGATCCTTTCCCCCCTTTCCCCCCTTCATTTCCAGCAACATCCCCAGCATCACTTGCATCATCCGCATCCTTGGCAGGCGCTGATGCGGATGATGCAGGTGGTGCTGGCGATGTGCCGCTGGAGCTGCTAACGAACACCCCAATGTTTTTGACAAACTGAGTTGCGCAAGCCCGCACAATGACCAGATTTAGTGAATCTTATGTCCAACACGCCGTCTGTTGTCGGCGGATATGTATATATATTTATACAAAGCAGCCATGGACGTCTATGGAACGACTATCTTTTTTGGCTTAGGCTTGGCCTTATTCCTGAAGATCGGAAGACTAGCCGCGGTTTGCCACAGCAGACTCAGACCAACAGCCAATCATACACTGCACAATATGGTCTTAGCCATTCACACGATGATTGAACAATCGATTGGAACCATGTAAAAGGAAACATCGTGGACCACACTAAAAGAGAGATGCTCCGGCGTTTCAGAAGTGGAACAGAAGTAGAAGGCTGCTGCTGCTTCAGGCTGATGAGTGCTGGCGACAGCTTTCAGCATCTTTGGCTCATCACTCAGCATTTCAGGCGCAGCACGTGGCCACAAGAGGGGTGAGTGGCCTTGCCCAGGCACGCGTGCATGAAATGCATGTAGCGGAGGCTTGGATTCCTAAGCGTCTCCTGCCACTGCAAGTTGGCTTTGGAGTATGGTCCAATGGTTGCTGCTGGGCTGTCCAGGTGCATGGGAGCCTGGTTTTGCGCGGCTTTCCAGCTTCATGGTCAGAGAAGGGTCTGAAGTACGCGACCCACCCCATGGCATTTGCGCATACGCCGCGTGCGTCATACTTCCAGCTTGCTTCATTTGGAACGCTGTGTAGGCTCAATTCGCCTGTCCCTTGCTCCTGAGCACGTTGTGATCACATCGTTGACACATTGGCCGCCCTCGTTCGAATACAGTATACTTTTGTTTGACATGCACAAGGTTTTGTTTTGACATGCACAAGGTTTTGTGATTTCATCGTGTTTGTTTGACATCCTGATCTGAAATTCATGCGGAGCTATGCCAGCGGGAAGTGCTGATGGGCTGGATAGGCAAATGTCAGTGCCATCGTGATTGTTCATGTTATATCCCGTGCCAGGCTGTTGGCCACATCTAGCTCTTTGCTAGGTGGAGCGTTGCCTGTGGCTTGAGAGCCTTCAACACTGAGATTGCGAGGAACTTTCTCCATTGCCCTTCCAGAGAGGCGCAGTGCTTGACATCAGTTCTCGGAGGATTCCAATGGGCAGATGGAGCTAAGGCGGCCACCCGATGCTACTACACTTGCGCATGCTTGGCACTCATTCGAAGTCTTAGTAGACTTTGCCATGCTGCGAGCTGCAGAGCTAGTTCCAATGTGCATTGCACACATCAGACACAATGCTAGGCACGTGCTGCAGAAACCGTGCACTGGGTGCGGCGCGCGGTATGACGCCACATGACGCCTTTTCAGAGTTCGGCGCTCGCAGGTGGCTTCCTGGCTGCTGCGTGGTCAGGAGCTCGAGGTGGTGCCTGGCGCCCACGTGCTGACTTGCACCTCACGTGGCTTGTGCAAACCTGACAAATGCAGTTCAGCGCTCAGGAAAGTACAAACCCCCTACCTGTGTGAAAGTGCCTCTGACCTGCTGAGCTACTATGAGTCCTTGCCGTTGGAACGCAGGCAGGGTGTCTTGCCCTTGCTACAACTTGTAGACATGTTGACATCGAGGCTTGATGGTTTATTCGGAGTCCTGCTGACTTTGGAGCTTCTGTCCTCCGCCAATGTGCTTCGCCGGGACGAGAACTCAATGCGTTCGATGCTCTTCACTTGGCACATCTTGTCTGGCGAATCGGGCAGGAAACCTTCCCCCGCACGCGCCGCTGCTTGGACATGTACTGTTTGGCACGAAGCTGAGGTGCTCCTGCAGTGAATGTAATGGGCTCTGGCTGTTTCGTTGCTGGAACACAGTAGCAGTGGAGGGTACAGTAGTGATAGTGGTAGTTGTACTGATGATAGTTTGAGAAGTGGAAACAACGGAGCAGCGCCTTTGTGTATCCGCTAATCTTTATCGCGAAATGACGAACCAGCGGCAAGACACCCAACCAGTTGAATGACAGATTGTCATGGACGATCCAGAAGATGATCCAGACGTTTGCTTGATCCGAGAGCGAAAGAGGCATAGCTTGTGAGGCTGTTGGAATCGCTGGAGCCAGGGGCCGAGTCTCAGTGGTAACTTTGAAGGTTGTCAGGCATGATTATTCTGCCTGCGCAACACCCACTGTTTCAGGTTGCACCGCAGCATTTGTTCTACAGACTTCACTACTGGGCCTGGGTTTGAACCTCAGAAATGAGATGCTGCTGAAGATGTCGCAGAGGCATCCCAGCTCAGACCCGGGCTAACCCTGCTTCTCGACGATTTCAATCAACATTATTTTGCCTTCTTGCTCACTGCCTGCTTGCGTACTGCTTGCTTGTGAATTGCTACTTGCTTGTGCTGACAGCTTGCTAGCTGCTTGATATGTCCAATGTGACTACCAATTCTGATGGCTCCTTCGAGCGGGTCACTTGGAAGTTGGAACCAGGAAGCAACACGGGCAACCTGAACTGCTGCTTGCCTCGCCTCCACAAGTAGTTGGCAACGGGTTTGAAGAGCTAAGAATTTTCCACGATGGGATCTGGCATTGCCGGAGTAGGTGTGATTGGCCACCTGCGCTTGAGTTTCTTTTGCTTACTCTGCTATCGCATGCTTTAGTGCTGGCTTAATTGTTGCGCTTGCTTGCTTGCTTGCTTGCTTGCTTGCTTGCCTGCCTGCCTGCCTTGCTTGCTTGCTTGCTTGCTTGCTTGCTTGCTTGCTTGCTTGCTTGCTTGCTTGCTTGCTTGCTTGCTTGCTTGCTTGCTTGCTTGCTTGCTTGCTTGCTTGCTTGCTTGCTTGCTTGCTTGCTTGCTTGCTTGCTTGCTTGCTTGCTTGCTTGCTTGCTTTGAAGCCGCCTGTTTGACCGTTGTTCTTTTCTGGCGTTAGTGCGCGCTTCATTGCTGCATGTTTTGCTTGCCTGTTTGCGTGCCATCAAATTGCCATCCCTGCATGCTTATATTTCATTGGCTGCTCTACCACGCCCCTTGTTGCTGCCAGTGAGTTGCGGGCCCAACTGCTGTCAGCCTTTCTGCTTGTGTCTTTGTTTTTCTTTTATTTGCTGCGCCTTTGTTGATTCTGTTTATCTGTTTACGTTCCTTTTATATCATAGTTTCCCTCTCTCTCTCTCTCTCTTTCTTCACACCCGATCACACCTGTGTTAGCCCAACACTGCAGCATTTTTGAGGATGTGACTTGCGATGTGAGTTTCTGAGGCATTTGAGACGCGGAAAGCTATCCGAGAGGCTTGGGCCAGCTCAATTTGCATTCGTGTGACATCCGATCCAGCCCGTATCTGAGAACTTGTGCTGGAACCTTGGTGGATTGGCGCTGCTACAATTACGAGCTTCTGGGTAGTTGACTTGCTTGCACTGCTGCGATACCTGTGCAAGTTGATTGTTTGCCAGGTAGGGCCGCCCATGCCCACCCCAGCATCGACTCAGGCCAGGCAACGAGAGATGACTGGTTGAATGCTTACACAAGGAATTTACCTGCAACCGCAGGTAGGGCAGACGATTTGCCAGGCGACAGCCAAGCTCATGCCATCGATACAGCTTTACATGTTTCAAAGGCCTTGCCGCCACGAGTGTTGAAAGGCTTGGTCAAGTTTGAAGAGCGGAGCAGGATTCCCAGCATGCCACTGGCATTGAGTTGTGTACGTGCAGAAACTGGCATTAAGGTTGCCCCTTGTGAGAAGCTGTCAACATCTACGACAAGTCACTGGGTGCGCTGCGCATTGCGCTCAACAGCAAACAGTATTCTGTTTTGTGCAGGCCATCATATTGTTTGTCCTGTCCGTGGGAGTGTGGATCTCAGGATGCAAATGTCCGCAAGGTATCTCAAGCTGCCATACATGGCTGCAGGTTGGTGGATTCTGGTGGCTCGGGATCGACGGCGCAAAGAACATTTGGGCTGCTGAGCTGCAAGAGCAGTGCTTGCTGACTAGAACGCGCCCTGAACTTAGGACTCTTCCTGCCGGCGAGTGCGGCGAGGGTGTGAAGCCCATTCCAACAACCACAGTGGGTCCGTGTGTGTGTGTGTGTGTGATTGCCTTGCCTGAGTTGCCATAGGTGGGCAGAAGTGTACGATCTCTTGCAGAAACTTGTGTCAAGCCCTCGGTCTCAGAAGCATCAGAAGACAATGTAAACCCGAGATCTGAGGCAAGTGGAAGAAACTCCATCAAGTCGATCGTGAAGCAATTGAAGCAGATGCGCATCGTGCTGTGCTGCACAGTGGCAACTGCGGCTGTACATAGATGATAGACTGCCTTCCCTGCGCTGGCAACACTTGACAGAGCGGGCAATCCCAAGTTGGGACAGGCCCTCAATCCCAAAGTCACGCGGTTGGAGTCTGATTTGCCTGGGCCTACAGCTTCTTGACTTCCAGACCTTTACCGCTTTGCGCATGGTTGCAGAGTGCAAAAGTCCGAGCTATGCTAGAACGAGCTCCAGCATTACATCGTAGTCGATTCGGCTGGTTAGCACTCGCCTGATTCAAACAGACGGTTGAATGCAATAAGAGTTACTAGCTGTTGCTCCTTCGCAGGTTCGTGTTTGCGCCGTTTGGTGGCTTGTCTTCGGTGACGATCGAGGAGGAGGACAATGTCGCGAGATCACTACGGGATTGACTCAATATTGACAATACCTTCATGCAGGAGGAGAATGCGCCGCCAGCAGCAGTGTCCGGAGAGGTGTGCAATTTTAACCATAGCACTAGCTCTGATGCCTCGCGCCCAGGTTCCGTCCTCGGGCAGACTGGCATATGTCAAGCTGCGCAACGTACACGCAATGGAGAAGGCTGGGTCCACCGAACTGGAACGACTTGGCAGATGCAATAGATGCCAATAGAATCCAATAGATGCAGATGTAGCAGATGCAATAGGCTATTTAGGAGTAGTCCTGATTGGTGCCTTTAGGCAGTTGCGAACCTCCACAAGACCAAGGTTGGCGATGGTGACCTAGTGGAGGCCCATGCTCAGAAACAGCTAAGCCGTGATTGCCGAGCACTTTTGATGCAGGAATGTGTGGTTGCCTGCCACCGATGGCACAGAAATTCCTGGTCTGCCTGAATCCCAGCAGTGATGAAGCCACGGCTTATTTTCCGATGATTTTGAGGATGGCAGCTTCCACGTGAGCATTTTCATTGACCAGTTGACCTTGGGCCGGCGACCGCTCGAGGCTCCTTGGGAAGTTCCAATGCATGTGACAAGAAACACATGCAGCTAGCATACATTTGCGCAAAGCTCCGTCCGTGTGTGTGTGTGTGTGTTTCTAAAGCATAAGAGGGGATGCGAGGGGCTTCTGGCGGAGGGATCTTGGGGTCGTCTCGGGGGTCTCAGGGCAGGCAGGAGGCACAGTGCAGGAGGTACTTGAAGCATGTCGAGAAGCCCTACAATCGGACTGTACTGGCGATTTCTTGTTTGTGCCTGCCAACATACTGTGCAGAACAACGGACACCGCAAATGCGGAGAAGTGTGTGTACCTTCAACGTCCCGATGTTTAAGAAGAGCCCCACTGCCGACTCTGAGCCTCAGCAGGTACTCTCGCGTGTCAACGCCCTGTCGCGCAGCCCGCCGGTAGAACAAGCGGCAAACGCCACCGTCCGCAGACATGAGCTGTGTTCAAGAACAGCTACGAGCAGCAAAAAACAAGCAGGGGGCCGGTGGAGGGCGGCAGCCCCCGCCCAAAGAAGAACGCAGTGCGCCGAATGAATTTTCCCCGCAAAACACAAGCGGGGCTTTCGGTTTGGCCCTGTTTGCTCTTGCTTTCCAGACATTTTCCCTGGTTTGTTTGATTTAGTTGTTTGCCTGTTTGTTTATTTATTTTGTTTATTTATTTTATTTATTTGTTTCTTGGTTCGGTTTGTGTGTTGGTTTGTTCGGTTCTGTTTGTTTGTCAAGCCCCTGAAGCCCCTCGAGCCCCTCGAGCCCCTCGAGGCCCCCTGATGCCTTGGTTTTTTGAGGGCCCTTAAGCCCCTTAAGGACCTGAAGGCCTGATGCCTTTTCTTCAAGATTTCGTAAGATGGCTTAAGTTCAAATCCTGGCTTAACATCTTGAAATAGCATCGATTTGTTCTCAATTCTTATCAAAGCCTTAGGGGCTGAATGCGTTAACATCTCAATGGCTTAAAATATTCAAATGTTGATCGCTGAACGTGTTAAAGTCTTAGTGGCTCAAAGTCTTGCAACCGTAATGACTTAAAATCTTCATGGCTTAAACTGTTATACTCCTGCTGGTGAGAAACTTCAATCCTTAATGGACTAAAATCTGAAAGTTGTATTGGCTGAGAATCTTGGATGCCTGCAGGTTTTTGTTTGAAATCTGTTTGGTCACTTGCGAAAGGCCCGTGCAAGACACGAACAGATTCTGAGCATGTTGGTTATGCTGGTGATGTTGCGCTGCGATGCTTGGGATGTTGGGAAACCCCCCCGTATGGAAGGATGCAGCCTACGAAAAGGGAACGTTTTGGAGTTACCGGGTGGTACGTGGCTCGGGAAGATCCCTGCCTTGGGGAGGGGATGTAAGGAGCATTTCTTGCGTCCAACTTGTTGTTGGTGGATTTCTCACCTCCAGTTGATCTCAGAGTACTCAATCAGGATTGGTGGGCGCCGAACAAGACCAACATTCGGCACAGGAAATCCAATTCCATTCGCTGCTCACACAACATCAAGTCGGAATTCGCGTGCATGTTACACATATAGTTTGATGTTTGCCCCCCCCCTTCCCCCCTTTCATGCAACTGTTAGTCAGACAGGTCGATACGCACACACACACACACACACATAAATGATCTACCCCCGGCAGAACTTGAACAAGCAAACAACAACAAGAACCACCAACGACATAAACTGGACAGCCAAATCACTCGCAAGTGCAGCCGGTTTAACTGTTTCATGCTGCGGATGCAAAAGCCTGCCTACCTGCCAATTCTTTCCCTCCTTCCAGAACGGCTCTACAAGTCCCGCTGTGAGGTTAGAGGTTACGTAAGTTATGATGAGTCATGCGAGGTACTACCTGAAAGAGACACACTCACGGATTGCAGGTCCAACCCGGGCCTGAAGACCGTGAGTTGTATGCTCTAGGCTCAGCAAGGACTCCGGTTTGAAACTCAAGGACAATGCAGCAATGCATGCCGAAGTTTTGCCGTACTGGAGGTGCGAAACTTGCCATTGCGGAGTGCTCAACTGACCTGGCCCCAGCTCTCAAGCTGAAAGTGGGCACAGCTTGCGAGGCATGACATGTCGCGGCAGCAACTGCGAGAGTACTTCGAGGCGTGTCCAAGCTGATATGTTTGTTTGGCACAGTATGCAATGTGTGGTCCAGGGCTTCGGCGAAGTTGACAGCCTTGACCTTGTCATGGACACCTTCTCTCTAGAGCCCACCAACGAAGGGTGCCACCGCCGTTGTTTTTGGAGATATGCCATGCAGGTTGAACGGCGTTCAACGCCGCTTTGTTTTAATGTAGTCGTCCGACAGGATGCCAAAACACGACATGAAGAGTTGCTCTGCCACATAACGTTGGAGGTACGTTCGCTTCAAGCATCATCGAGATGCATTACGCTGTATTGAAGCTCTCACTCCGACAGATCCTGATGAGGTTCCGTGACGTCGTGCAAGTTCTTGCAGTGTCAGAGAGCGTGTGCATTTTCAAGTGGGGAACTGAACACACTGCCATCTCTCAGGCAGACCCAACAGATTTGCAAGGTTCCTGGTCAGAGCCTGCCTTGCCTGCTACGTGCACTTGCGAGCCACTTGCACGGAGCCGAGCTCAATGGCAGGTCAGAGCGGGTGCTGCAGCGGAAAAACAACTGCTACAGGCCCGGCTCCCCCCAGTCTGTTCTGCAAAAAACACATGTGCCGCAAGTGTGCAACAGAAAAGAACTGCAGATAGCCGAAAACAACATGCACGCAGATGTCCAAATTCCACATGGTTCAGCCTGAATCCATTCAACCGGAAACGCAGACACACGCATATCTTGTTCTCACTCTCGGCTTGCTACCGGTCGGCGTGGTTCATGGTTAGTTTGAGGTTGCGTTAAGGTTGGATTAGGGTAGGTTTAGGGCTAGTTTAGCCTTGGTAGTCTAGCCTTGGTGCAGGGTGGGTCTACGGTAGTTTAGCGTTGGTGTAGGGTTGGTTTAGGCTTAGTTTACCGTTGGCTTAGGGGTGGTTTAGGGTAGTTTAGCGTTGGTGCAGGGTATGTGTAGGGTTAGTTTGGTAGGAGGTTTAATGGAAGAGTCTGGCTACCGCTTGTATATGTGCGTGAAAACTTGTGTTTGTTTCATTGGTTGTATGCAACATAGATGGCAACGCTTGCCGAGTTGACTGCATTCGCGCACGTGTAAAGCATGGTTCGGTCACAGGTTCAACCTAGTTGCAGAGTTGGCCCTAGCCTCGGATCCTTTGGCTGATGCTTGATGGTGCGAGTATCACATTTGCAGGTTGGTGCAGACGGCTCTGGGTTGGAGAGGATGAAAGCAGAGGCCAAGCTGAAGGCAAGGAGTCGGCGACAGCTGTGTCTCATGCTGTAGGCAGTATGCCTTCAAAACTGCCAGGGGCTATGGATCTTAGGCGAGACTCTTCAGCTGAAGGACTGCAGTTTCTGACCAGTAGAAGACTTCCCAGTGAAAATTCACGTCTCAGGATAGGACAGCACCACGGGCTTCGGGCAGGCACTGACACAATGCAATGCAACTTGCTACCATGTTGCGCACACACATGTTACGTGGCAAGGCAGAGAGTTGGCACAAGGTTTGCATGTCAAGAGGCAGCTCCATTTCGTTGGAAGATGCGTCGAGGAACCCAACGTGCTCACCTAAGCAGGATGTGCAAAGGGCAATAGGTTTTGACGAGTTGTGGAGCTGTGCTGAGGTGCGCCTTTTCAGGGATCTGCTGGAGCGTGAGCTCGAGGAGACAGCACGTGCCCACTTTGCTTGAAAAGGATTGCACGGGCTTGCTATTTACATAGACTTGCAACCTCAGCGACTTTGACGCGGCGAGAGGCCATCCACAAGAAGATTTCCTCACGTTTGGAGAAGCGCAAACAGAAGGCGCTGTTTTGAGATGGTGCAGTTTTGACGAAAACGCCTTGAAATCACGTCAACCAAAGAGGTTTGGTTAAATGCATGGCAGCAACAGCTCACCGGGAAGCGATCATGGCAATAATGCCCATGTCCAGTTCTGTATTGCAATGCCGCGGAACACCGCAACGAGCGGGGCTTGTTGGAATCCTCACTCTGTTGCCATGCTGCAAAGCTGCAAGCAAAATGCATTCTGAACAGTACTGGAAGAGGGTTCGTATCACAAAACCTTGTGTTTGAGTTGCTCTCTCGGGAGCCACGAACTTGCTGCAATTGCTACCTGCTCCAGGCTTCTGCACAACGAACCTCACTATTCATTTGATCGAGTAGTTGGTTCTTT